GAGATATACCTTCAAGTTCAGTCAAATAAATAAATAAATAAAATAGTGATAAAGGATTTGGGTAAAAAAATGCTCGAAAAAAAAAGAAAAAAAAAGAGAGAATTTAAATTTATTGATTAGCAATCAAAATGAAGAGTACAAATTGATCTTAAACATTAAGATTATAAAACTCTTCTTTGCTAATATCCAACAACTCTTCTAAGTTTTTTAAGTATTCTTCGTCTTGCGCGGGGACATTCTCTACGGCGGCGAGTTCATCCTTGACTTCAGCACTTTGAATTGTGATATTCTCTTTAACTCCTTGACGTCGCTTAATAAGGGAAATATTCTCTCTTTTTTACTCTTGTAAAGAGCGAAGCTTCACGTCAATATTCTCCACACACCCCTCTAACTCCTTGATAGCTTCGCACTCCTCAATATGCCTCGTCTCAAGGTGCGACAAACGATCTTTGATCTCGGAAATATGTTGGTTACGAGCCGCCAAGGATACGGCATCGATCGAGTCAGAACATGCCTAATCAAAAGATGCAGCGTCATCAAAAAGGGCCTTGACTTGGTCCTCAATATGAGAAATGTCAGAATACTTAAAGTTTTTCATTGATTGGAGCACTACGTCAACCTCGTCCTTAATCGAGGAAAGCAAACGAGCTGGTGTCCTCAAAAGCTTACCCCGAAGATCTGACCATACTTTTCCTATATATTCGCGTTAGATCCCTTTCACAAAATCCGCGCCACAGAATTCTGAAACCGCGGGCACAACGGAATGAACAACTATGGGCTTGGTTGGAGCATCATTTACTTTCTCATTGCAAACACCTCTGCTTTCCCCAATCACCTCAACAATGGAATCTCAGCTCGCCATCTTTTCATCCATACTCGGGATTCTTTGCTCCAACTGAAAAATGGGATAAAAAAAATCATGTCAAAAAAAAAAAAAGATAAAAGTTACCTCTCTCGCGAAATCACTCGAAGAATGGTGTTGGCTCGAACGAGGACTCGACGGGTTGATGATATGGAGATCTCGACGAGCTCGCTTCCAATGAACATCATGCTCACTACTGCTTCGTTCAGAGACAGAAGGTACCGCCCGCTTTAAAGAACCAACATTGGGAGTACTTGAATTTCCATTGTTTCTCTCAGGAACACCCGAGATAAGTAGCGGCATTTTTCGAGCTTTATCCGATGGCTTGGTCTGATCGGTGGTCTTTTGTACCGGCGGGATATACTCATCCAAGAAAGACCCGCAAACTTGAGTCCACCACTTCTTGTATACGTCGGAAGAAAATCCCCTCGGAATCGCAGGAAAGCGTGGAAGAATAACTTCGGCTGAAGATTTCAAGTAAGTGCTTTGGTGCCAATTTTGATAGCCTTCCTCAAAAGCGCAGCAACGGACGTCTTTCAAAAGAACTTCGGGAATCTCTTGGAAAAAACCGAATTGACGGCAAAAACGGTGGGGACTATACGGCTCCACGAAGCATCAAAATCCATCCCGCAAAGTCAGAAAACAAGAGCGAATGGAGATGAAGTATTCTTGCTTGTAGTCTTCGCGCTTCCCGTCATCAACAAACCGTACGTTGAAATCTTTCGTGATCATGGTGCAAGCCCAACGAAAGTTGAAGCACAAAGATGCAAAGCCAACATCGTCGAGCGGAAGCACAAAGATGCAAAGCCAACAAGAAAGGAACGCTGCAAGAAAAGTCTCCTCAAGGTGCTCCCGTCCAACTTTGAGTTTGGCAAAAGATGACTCTTGCGCCTTCAACCATGGCTCGTGGGCACCAATCTCTCCGGTAGGATTGTAAGTCGCATCAGGCCGAGAAGAACGAGTAGACTCCTTGCCACGACGAATTTGAGGATGCTCGTATTTGACGGTCTTTTTGCACCAAAAAGAAATCCAATCGGTTGCGCTGACGCCACGTCGACCTTTGTCACGACTCCGAAGAAGGTGATAGGCATGCAACAGGTATCGGCACGAACGGGGAACCAGCTTCCTATCCTCTTTACTGCCATATAGCTCCTTTGCGCTTGGTACCACCTCTTCGTAAAATGAGCCGAGTATGGAGGGGCCCGCCAAGGACGCCAAGTGACGGAGAGAGATCGACACTTCACCGGCGGCAGTCAAAAGGGAGTTGGTTCTGGGACACCACGCCTCGCAAACGGCCTTCACGATCTCCGGAGAATAGTCGTAGAAGAACAAGGAAGCATAGAGCGCATCGTAAATGCATCCTCTCTTTAGTTGAATCTCGCATCGATCCAGCACATCCTCCGCCCATTCCCAATAGCCGGCCACATACGAAAAGTTGCCATCAAAGGAAGGAAGACCATTCCAAACGCACGCTCCCTCCATGATCCGCCGCCCCAAGGTTGGAAGTGGAAGAACATCGTTTGGCATGTGTTGATGGAGTGAGGATTGCAAAGTATGCTTTCCGCCAACGACATTCCGAGACCACGTCTTTGGGAAATTTGGGACCTCCAAGCGAGGGCGAGCAGCTCCGCGTCCTATGAGTGGTGGATGCACCAATAGACGAGTCGCCTTGTCCAACGGTTGACCTTCAAACTCGCAAATCACCAACTCGGCGTTTCCAGAGGGGGAGGAGACATCCTTGAAGTAAGCCATCTCGCCTACAAAAAAAAAAAAAAAAAAACATAAGCAAAGATCGAAATATGAAAAAAAAAAAAAAAAACACAAGAGAGAAACCTACGCTAGAATGAGAGAAATCAAGATTGTGAGAAGTTGAGAATAACAAAGTTCTCTTATGGTGAGGCGTTTATATAGTGTCTAAAAAATTGAGACATGGAAATACATGAATAAGGGAAGAAAGAAGATAAGGAAATAAAGAGAAAAGGAAATTAAAAAAAAAAGGAAGGAAGATAAAAATAAAAATAAAGAATAAGGAAAGAATATATATATATATATATGATATGTATAAAAAAAATTTAGCAAAAACGCCATTTAAAATAAAAAAATATATATATTGGCAAAAATGTCATTAAAAGAAATGGCAAAAAAATGCCAATTTTGAAAAAAAGAATGGCAAAAAAAAATGCCAATTTTGAAAAAAAGAATGGCAAAAAAAAATGCCAATTTTGAAAAAAAAAAAAAAAAAAAGGCAAAAACGTCAAAAAAAAAAAGGTAAAAAAATGCCAATTTTGCAAAAAAAAAAAAAAAACGTCATTAAAAAAATGGCAAAAAAATGCCAATTTTGAAAAAAAAAATTCAAAAAAAATCTAGCTTAAAAAAATCAATTGGACAAAAAAAATCTCGTCAAAAAAAAAAGTCCTCTGAAAAAAATATTGGCTAAAAAGAAAATAAAAAAATGATAGCCATAAAAAAAAATTAGTCAAAAAAAATAAATTGACTTATGTTTCGAGACTTATTCAAGCCTTAAACGCTTTGCGTTAGGCTTAAAAGAGTCTCGAGGGGGCATTTTGTAGACACTAAAAATATATGTCTAAAATCAATTAGATATCATATATTTTGGAAGAAAATAAAATTCCAATAATATAAATATATGGTATTTAATTATGCACATATGTTAATTTTTTGTACAATAAATATCAACTATTAATGCAAAAATATGTTTAAAATGGAAGATATCGTACAAATATTACGTGCATAAATAAAGCCATAATAAATTTGGCGGAAAAATAAAGATCTTGTCAATAAATGAAGTATATAAATTAATATCTTCCAAAAAAGACAATGATATAAAGATTTTGGCGAGAAAGGAAGGTGCATAATCAAATCCGTCAAGAATGGAAAACGACATCCGATGGAAAATGAAATATTATAAAATCTTTCCATCCACGTGGCACCATCCGAAAAGGAAGCCAAGGCCGCCCTCCCCTATAAATAGGAGCCTTGGCCAATTCATTTACACACCGAAGTTGCATCGAGGATTCAAGCAAAGGGGTAAGTCTCTAGACTCTCTGTATTATTCTTCATGTTCTTCGTATCCTTCGAAGCGTTCTTCGTCGAAAGTCACTAATTTGGACAAATGATCCAATATTGGTTGACGAATCGATAAAGTTAACGTTCTTCGTCGTATGTCCGAGCCGGAGGAAGGATCAAAGCTCTCAAAGCCGTCGAGGAATCCATCAAAGCCAAGGAAAAGCCTCCAAAGTCGCTCTCAAAGCTTCGAGGTGTTCATCGCGTTCTTCATAAAAGGCGCAAACTCGACCCTCTTTGATCCAAAAGTCGAAGGAACACGCTGCCAAAAGCGTTATGGAGCACCAAATCTCCCCGTTCAAAGATCAAATTCCGCTGGATTATCCAAAGGAGGCATCAATCCAAAGCTGATGATCAAATCGCCAATGCGGAGACTAAAGTCTTCCAAAAGCCGGCGAAGTCAAACCGAAGACCAAAATCCCTTCGGATCAAAGAAGCCACCCAAATCCAAATTGGAAAAATGGATCGACCCGGAGAGAGAATCAAAGGATCCGAATAGAGAATAGGACCCGCATATATTTAAATTACATGTAATTTGTACGATTTTGTGTTTATAAAAATATAACACAATTTTTTTGTCAACAAAAGTGTATAATTATATTTCCAAAAAAAAAAATGGACAAATTATGTGGGACGAACGAAAATAGAAAATAGGAACAAATTATGTGGGACGGAAGAATAATAATTTAGGCAATAGTTTACCTCTGATATGTAAGTAAGAGTTTCGGCCTAATTATAAATAAGAGTTTCTGGCATTTAAAGCATTATTCAAGAGTCTTCAATTTGGAAAAACAATCAATGAAGTGGTAAATTAATATTCTTTGTGGCAGGGCAAGAGATCAAGCTTTTAAAATCCTCTTTTAGTCAACTGTTCTTCAAGTTTATACAAAGCTTCAAGGCCTTCTTTGCCAAAACTGCCCTTTGATCTAGAAGTCAAAAAGACATGATGTAAGTTTCAAGTTTATACAAAGCTTCAAGGCCTTCTTTGCCAAAACTGGCCTTTGATCTAGAAGTCAAAAAGACATGATGTAAGTTTCAGTTTCACACTAATAAATTTGTCAAGGGAAAGCAAATTATTTGAGCTCTTATGGAGCTAGGCAATGTTAAACTGAATCAGAGTGGCATTGGCATTGGATTGAATTTCAAAAGCATTTATCCTTGACAGAAGGATCTAGACTTTCAATCTAAAATCAAGTGGGGATAAAAAATTTCATATTTTTCCAATGTGAGATATATTCAACACTATCTATGCATCTATCTATCACCTATCCTCGGCAACATTATCATCAGTCAACCAACACAGATAAGTAGATAGATAGATAGATTGAATACGAATTGATGAGGATGGATTGGATTGGATACGCAAATCATGACCGTCTAGTGCTCAGATTCGATGATGTTACGTTCATCCCAAATAGGACAAAGACATGTTGGTTTCTTGTTCCTCCAATCAGCTCCACATGTATAGCAAAACTCGTGACCGCATCTGCAAATAAAAATAATCAATAGACACCAACATGCTATGCTATGCTAAAATCTTCGAAAAACAACTCCTATAAGCAATTGTTTGTTTTGTACTCCTCCAACTGCATACAATATGACTCGCAAAAGACATAAAAGGGAAACTAAGCAAACTTATTAATAATAATGAAACTTACAAAACAGCACTTGCTAAATATTTTTACATTCTATTTATATGACTATCTCATCTAAAAGTTTGAAAATAGATTATATATTATATATTATATAATCTTCTATTCAAGTATAGACCAAATTCATTCAACAAAGTTTTGCATGATACAAATTTCCCCCCCTCTCCCACAAAACGTGTAAGAGGGACTAAGATATAAGACCTTTCGCTCAATAATATTTTAAATGGTTATTTCACTCCCCCACAAAACGTGTAAGAGGGACTCAAATATAAGACCTTTTCGCTCAATAATATTTTAAATGGTTATTTTATCTAAAAATTTAAACCAATAGAAAAATATACTATTATTATACATTATATAGTTCTCCACCACACTTAATAGATAAAATAAGAAGATAGATGGGCAAGGCTTGATAGGGCCTTGCTGAGTTTGCTGTATTGTTCATATCATCCAAAAGAGACAAGATTCTCTTTCTATTTCGTATTCAAAGTAGTTCATCCAAGAAGAGTAGGCCCCCTGCCACCCCACTCCTCCCTAACTCAAAACTACTTGAAAAAACAAATAAAAATAAAAATGATTTTCCTACCAATGCTTATGAAATCTAACATGCATCAGATTGGCACACTGACAAGTACAATAACATAGAGAGTCATCAAAAGGGCATACATTTTTCTTCACATCTAATATTTCTCAAGAATAAACGAGACAAAGTCATAGTTGTCAGCATGTAAGAAAATACCTGCAATAGATGTGGTAGCATCCCGCAGCAAGTGAAACCATATGACTGCATTTTGGACACTGACGCCAGTGATTCAGATTAGCCAACGACTCAAGTTTTTTGTCTTCTTTACATGGATTTGGGTTGAACCTTTTATAATCAAAGCAAGACATGCCCTCATGCCAGGTAACCTTACAATGGATGCAAAAAAGACTGGTGCATCTTGGGCACTTTCTGCCCCCCAATGTGCCACCGATAATATCAATCTCCACCGGCAACCCTTTGAGTTCGGTTTTAGACAATAAGGCAGAACACCTTGGATTTGGGCAATAAATCTTTTCTGTTACAGGAATAGATGCTTCCTTCACCCGCTGGCTCATTATCTCAAATAAATCAGGAGTTAAAAACTTCTTGCAGCTGTCAAGTTTTAACTCTGTATTGCAGTTTACATCAGGACATTTAGGTAGAAGCCCTTGAAGCAATTTATATTCGACATGCTTCATCATACATGAAGTGCAGTAACTGTGTAGACAACTCGGAATCTGGAACATTTGCTTTGCATTTGTAAATTCCAGGCATATAGCACAACTCTCACTTGCGTTATCAGTACTGCTACTTCCATCTGAACGATTGAGCTGCAAAGCTATTGCATTCCGTGCAAGTTCAAAGGCATGCTTAATATTCTCAGGGGTCTCAAGGGATACCTGAGTCTGAGAAAATTTTCTTAGAAGAAGGTTGATTTGCTCATATAATTTGACAACATTTGCAGCCATTACTTGGTTTTTACCTGTTATCTGCACATAGGAGTAACACCATCAAACAATCAAACCTATATCGATTAAATGTAAGGATACAAAAACAAGTATATCGCTGCCCCCCATGATAGAACAACAATGCAAGGAACTTCCCAGCTGCAAGTTTATGCTCAAGAACCTATATAAGATCGTCTAATAGATGAATTATTTAAGTTTTACTTGGAAGCTATACTATAACTTTGGTTGGATTACATAATTAAAGTCAACCTGTTTAAAAATTTAATATTACAATAGCATCTTCTATAACTCCATATCTGCTTTCTTTCTTTAAACAGATTAAGTGCCCATTCTACCTTTGGTTGATATCCATCAAACACTTACTAACTAAAGTGTGTCACTATTGAATATCACAATAAAGCCACAACAGGGAAGCAAACACAATTATGCTTTTAAATGAATCAGGCAGTAATGAATCGATGAAAAAAATTAAAAAAAAAAAAAAAAAAAAAAACAGAACCAACATGTCGATATAGCAGCGCAGAATCAGTAACAATGGCGAGCCTCTTCAAGCCCAGAACTGCTGCTATGTCAAGTCCTTCAATCAAAGCCTTCATCTCAACCCACTCCTGAATTGCTTGGAATTCTCCTCCCCCACCAACACCGAGCCCTTTACTTATCTCGAAGATCAAACAACCACTCTCGTCGCAAATCGCCACCCCAATCGCACCCACCGACCCCTCAACCAAACCCTTGGCATAAACCCGAAATTCCAAGCCATGGCCGCCAGACGAAGAGGAGCCCTCGCCGTACGGCCTGTGAAAATGATCCCCAGTCGCCGCCCACTCCACATCGGGAACCTTGAGAATCTCGGAAGCGAAAGCACGATCGTGAACCTGATGGCAGAGATCGAGGCGCATGCGCTTAGCCTCGGCCTCGGCCTTGTAGTGCCCGAGGAGAAACTGCTCGTACTGGGAGAGATAGTCATCCTCAACCTCAACCTCAACCTCAAGTGGTGGAGTGAGATTGTCAAGCAGAGAGGCCGTTAGAGCTTCCTCAATCTGCAGATTGAAAGCCACATCGAAGGAGCCGTCGTCTTCAGCCATGACTTAATTCTCTCTATCTCTCTCGGTAAATTAAAGCGAAAAAAACGAAGGATCGAGTCGACGCTTAAAAATTGTTTGTTTGAAAACGTAGAGAATGCAGACCGTTGGCACGTTGGGGACTTTTCAGTAATTACACCCTGGGAAGGCATACGCACTACCAAAAAAAAAAAAAATGTCTTTTCGTAACGGGCTAATGTTTTGCAACAATATTTGTATCATAAAAAGTGGTTTATGTTACAATTTATGTCGAAAGAAAAAAAAAAAAAAAAACGGGCGATGGTCAACCTTTTTCTTTTTATTACAAAAATTTATCCGTACCAAATACAATTTTGACAAATTGTTATCTTACATATATTTGTTACGTGGGCAGACCGTAACAAAAAAAATAAGTATTATAAATTAAAAAATTAAGTTTTTTTAAATTAAAATAAATTCAATATAAAATTTATTACCAAAACAAAATTAAAAATGAAGAAGCGTGAATGCGCTTTTATGTTTCTGCCAACGTTTACATATACAATAAATCAAATAAAATTATTCTAAGTGTTTCTCTCCCGAGACGAATTTACAGAGAAGCCTCAGACTCGCGCCTCCTTTGCCTCCACCGTCACTCCGCCGTCGCCTCGCCTCCACCTTCGTGCCGCCGTTGCTGGTGGACGGCAGCCCAAAATTCACCCTAAGCTAGCGACCTTTGTCACGTAGGTTCGAAGGCGGTCGTTCGGGGTACGTTTTAGGACGCATAATCGATGGGTGAGTTAAAATGATTTGTTAACCTAACGTCTTTGTGTGTTTGAGGATTTTTTATATAGTGTAATACTCATTTAGTTGATGTTCATTTGTTCGATTAAGTTTTTGCAATGTAGGTTTTTGGATTTAAAACCTAGATTTTCCATTGATTGCGCAAAAATCGATTTTGTGGCTTTTGGATTTCGTTATGGTTGAAATTATTTTGTTAGTAATTACAAAAATGTAATGGAGGTAAAAAAGAAGTGGTATTAGGGCTTCCTCAAGTTTTTGGACGGAATTACTGTAATGTTTGAATTTTTGGAGGGGATTAGCAGGATTTGTATAAAACAAATCGTATTAGCTAGTTCATAGTGCAGAGCTTATTTAGATATGTTTAAGAAGTAATTTTTTTTTGTCTCAATCTACTCCCAACACCATATTGCTGGTTTGCCACTTTCAAACTCTCGAGTTGCAATTGGGAAACTACAAGCTTGATATTCAAGTTGGTGAAGTCGGTGGTGATGATTAATTGATTATCATAACATTTAGCATGCAATGGACTGCCACGTTCTTGGCTGTGGATGGCATTGCACTGCTTCAAACAATCATAAGTCCAAAAAGATTTTTGAACTTCAGTTTTTTTATTGCCGAGGTACCTGATTTAAGCAAAAAGAGGAATTAATCATTACTTGTCTCTTTGAAATTTCCCGATCTTCATATAGAGAATGGAGTGCAACAAATATGAGGCTATACGGGCAAGGTCAATTGTTTAGCACAAGATGGAAGAGAATGTGTTTGAAGCTGCTTCAAAGTTTGTTTTCAAAGCGCAAAACCTTTCCCCAGGACTTGACAGTATTAGCCAGTTGCTAAGCATTTGTGATGTTCAGTGTTCAACTCAAAATAGATTAGGATCTGAAAAGGATTGGTATGGAATCCTGCAAGTTGAGAAGCTAGCTGATGAATCGAAGATCAAGAAACAATATTTGCGGTCGGGCCTCAGTCTCCATCCCGACAAGTTAACCAATTTCCTAGAGCCGAGGGTGCTTTTAAGTTGATTTGTGAAGCGAATTCAAAGCTTTCAAATCCCTGCAAGAAATCTATATATGACAATAGTATTAGATTGATAAGCTGATCTGATTCTATCAGTTCAGCTTATCAGCACAAAAACAGTGCTCAAAACAATTTTTCTACAGGGTTATAGAAATCAGAATCAAAATCAACCTGCGGCTCAACCAGCATCCTCAGGAACACTATGATTTTATCAGTTCTGAAGATAAGAAATTTTAAAAAAAGTGTGTTGTAACTTCCATTGTCATTATTTTGGAGGTTCTGAAATTTGGTTTGACTTTTATTTTTTACAATTTATTTGCCCTCTACTTCTGAGCTTATGTGATTACTGCAAGTAGTAGATATATACTTGGTTATGAATTCACACTGTATTTCTGATTCTCCAATAGGAATGGTGTCCAGTGGCAGAAAATTTTGTGCGTGAAGGTGCTTAGGGGGTCGGTATTATCTTTGGAGATCACCTACGGGTAGAGGACCGTATTCGTACATGTGCCTGCTTCTGCCAAATAACTTCTGTACGTTATTCATTCCTCCTCTTTTATTTTATGGCCTTAAAAGGTGTTAATTGAACTTCATAACAATATGATAATTATAGTGGTACATCCCTATGCTTAGAGCTTATAGGATATATGGGTTTGGAGATAAGTTTCCTTTTGGAGAGATCGAACAAACATGATTCTGCTATCATTTTTGGTTTTGAGGGGCTGTTATTTTTTCATACTTTAAATTCGGCCCCATTGGAGGCATATGTCTTATTTTTGGTTCTTTATTTTCATCTAGTGTCTTCTTTTGATCCGGTTAGTCTTATTTCATTAGTTAGTTCATAACAACTAAATAATATTTGTTTCATAACGATGTTTTTCGCATGTCTAATGCAAGGGCGGTGTTTTTCAGTTTGTTGCAGTTGTATTTTTTATTTGCTTGCTGATACATTACACACTATGCATTGTATTACATTACCGGTTGTTTTATTGTAGAACATATTGATGAGTTATGAATTGTCTAAGGAACATGCAAGCTTTCTTACAAGGATAGCCATCTTCATATCCACATATAATTGAAAGTTGAAACAGATAAGTCAAATTATTGTCGCACAACCGATACATACATAACTAGCATATAATGTGTTGTCATTACCCCGTAACTACGTTGGTGGCTGCTTGATTGGGTTCTTTCCAAAATTGTTTATTAGATGGATAGGATTTGGATAGAAGAATCCGACTACACTTCCAATAGATACTTTGACGGAGTGATCCAATTCTTAAGCTATGCTTTCACCGGAAAAACACTGGAATCAGTTGTGCACTGCCCCTGTAAAATTTGTGGCAATCGTGCAAGTTATAGCCGTAGGAAGATCTTGCTCCATTGTATCAGGTACGGGTTTGACACCTCTTACAAGGTGTGGACTTGGCATGGGGAAGCGGGGAGTGAGACGACCACTAGCAACTTGGTTGAAGATGAGATGACTTCGCAACGGGAAGATGAACTAGACTTGCTTCTGCGCGAGTGTGTTTTCTCACACGACGTAAATCCAGAGAACAGTCATGCAAACATAAATGATGTGGATCCTGCAGAGGGGTTAGAGAGCGGTAAGAAGGGATTGAAAGACATATTAGAAGATCTGCAAAAGGACCTAATACCGGGGTCTAAGAAATTGAGTAGGTTATCATTTATCGCACGCCTTATGCATTTGAAGGTTTTGTGTCAATGGTCAAATAAATCATTTGACCTTCTGCTTGCCTTGTTGAGGGATGCTCTACCCGATGATGTGGTGTTGCCGAAGACTTACTACGAGGCAAACAAAATAACAAAAGAGTTGGGATTTACTTGTAAGACTGTGGACGCATGCATGAACAATTGTATGTTATTCACCGGAGAGGATGCAGATCTTCAGGCATGTGTTGTATGCGGTGGAAAGAGGTTTGTCGAAGGGAGCTCCACCGTGTCTGTAAAAAAGATGAGGTATTTTCCATTAATTCCCCGTTTACAGCGAATGTTCTTGTCCTCCAAAACAGCAGCGTCAATGCGGTGGCACGCTGAATCTCGTGTTGATGATGGCGTTTTGCGGCACCCGGCTGATAGTTTGGCATGGAAAAGGTTTGATCTTTGAAATCCATTATTTTCCAATGACATTCGAAATGTACGATTGGGATTGGCGTCCGATGGCTTCAATCCTTTTGGTAACATGAGTGTTAATTATAGCATTTGGCCAGTGGTGCTCGTGATCTATAATTTACCCCCATGGTTATGTATGAAACAACCATCATTCCTCTTTTCTACAATAATAGACGGTCCTAAAGGGCCGGGAGATCGGATCGATGTGTTTTTGCAGCCTCTTGTGGCTGAGTTGAAGGAGTTGTGGGACATTGGCGTGAGAACATTTGACGCAGTAAGTCAACAGTACTTCCAAATGCGTGCTGCCTTACTATGGACCATTAGTGATTTTCCAGCTTATGCTATGTTATCTGGATGGCCGACACGCGGGGGAAATGCATGTCCAAATTGTGGTGTACGGACGCACTCTACATATTTGAAGAATGGGCACAAATTTTGCTACTGTGGCCATAGGCGTTTCTTACCTGATGGGCACAGGATGCGACGTGATCGACATTCCTTTGATGGAACGATGAACTTTGAGCCCAGCGTCACACGCATAACCGTGGCCGAGTTACATGATCAGTTGAGGGATGTTCCTACTGCCTACCGTAAGGAGGATTTGGTTGTGCAACAAGCGGAGCAACAATCTAGAAAACGGCGTCGGGGAGAACAAAGACAATCATCCACATGGAAGAAAAAAAGCATTTTTTTTGAATTACCATATTGGGCTGATCATGATATACGACATAATCTGGACTTGATGCACATTGAAAAGAATGTTTGTGAAAATATCTTGCATACATTGTTAGGCACTAAGGGGAAGACAAAGGACAACCTTAGTACGAGGAAGGACTTGCAATTGATGAATATACAGAGTTCTTTGCATCCAGTTTCCAAGCCCAATGGTAGGGTTTACTTACCGGCAGCCGCATACACCATGTCGTGTTCCAAAAAAAAAACATTCCTATCAGTTTTGAAAATTTTGAGACCCCCAGATGGTTTTAGTTCTAATTTAGCTCGTCGGGTCAGAATAGAACAACAAACAATATGGGGGTTGAAGAGCCATGATTGCCACATTCTAATGCAGCGAATCCTTGGTGTTGCAGCTAGACGGTACATTATGCACTACCCAACCCATCGTTCTGTACTATTGGCACTACAGTTGCATGACTTTGTGAGAGATGATTTTTTTCTATTCTTGTATGGCTTTACCCAAAGACGTTGTCGTTGTGTTGATGGAACTTTGCACCTTCTTCAACTTAATGTGTTCAACAAACAACACAGTACGGGATCTTGAGAAGCTACAAGATAAAATTGCTCTGACGCTATGTCACTTAAAGAAACTATTCCCACTTTCTTTCTTTGATGTCATGGAACATCTTCCGATTCACTTACCGGAGGAGGCGATGCTTGGAGGACCTGTTCAGTATAGGTGGATGTATCCAATCGAAAGGTATTTAGGTACTCTCAAGAGATATGTACGGAACCGTGCGAATCCGGAGGGTTCAATTGCACATGGATACCTCGTGGAAGAGTGTATGACATTCTGTTCGAGATATCTTGGGGATTTAGAGACTAAAGAGAATCGTGTTGTGCGACATGACGATCTTGGAGAAATAAGGGGGCGTGGTCTTTTTGGGTCCCGGTGTAACCTCGATTCCATCACTTTGCAACAAATACACGGATACATATTAGGCAATGTCGAAGTTATTGGTCCACTCAGAAGGTATGTATCTTCAATAAAGGATATTTTGTCTTATTATGGGTTACCATGTCTAAAATCCTTGGGGACTCCCCTTGTTCATCCGCAGTGTGCATCTTGAAAGTATTAAGAGAATGCGACCCAATGCAAGCCCCCGAGAAGTGCAGCAGATTCACATCAAACAATTTCCAGGGTGGTTTCAAACCTATGTGGGTACAAAAATATCACAATTTAGAGTTGGGGTTATAGTCAATAACAAATTCACTGCGAAAGTAAATACACTTAACTTGTCTGTAGGTAGAGGATCCTACCGACAATGTTGATGGCACAATCACTGCGCACATGAAGACACTAGCACAAGGACCTTACACGCATGCAACAAGATTCACGTCTTGCATCGTCTCTGGAATCCGGTTTCGAGTTAAATCAAGGGACGAAGGAAAAAAGACTCAGTGTGCTGGTGTGATGGTCAATGCAGAGACAATTAGCTATGCAAGTGCAAGTGACCTAAATTCTCGGGCAGGTTCGGTCGCATATTACGGGTTAGTAACTGACATTATAGAGGTGGAGTACAGTAATGAAATCCGCTTCCTTCTATTTAAATGCGATTGGGCTGACCCAGAGAAGGGTGTTAAGGATGATGAGTACAAGTATAAGATGGTAAACTTTCAGCACTTGATGTACACAACAAATCTCCCAACAGATGAACCATTTACCTTAGCTACGCAAGCAAGACAGGTTTGGTACATCAATGATCCCGCAGATGAAAACTGGAGTATTGTTGTTCCAATGTCTAGGAGAGATACCTATGATGTTTACAAGACCATAGATGATAATTTCAGGACAAGGTTTAACCTTGACGATGGTTGCATATCTAGAGGAGCGGCTGATTATTGGCCGAGGGAGGATGTAGAGGGGGTAGTAGTGGAAGGTGAAGCCAATATGAATGTAGGCACTTGCGTACCAGGGATGGTTGAAGAGGATTCTTCCGAAGAATCCGACTGCGTTTCTTTATAATAGAGTGTAGTCTTTTTTGTTTTTGACGACTTTTTGGAAACCCTCCCACATTTTTGGGGTTTTTGGCTGAATTATAGAGTTGGGAAGCAATAACTACGTAGTACATGTAGGATACTCCAATCTCCTAAACCAAACTTCAGGTACATTCATATTATTTGTGTATGTTGTTATATTGTCAGTCATTTTTATTACCACTACAAGGTCGTTATAATGGATGTTCCTCCATCTACATGCTTTATGTGTTTTTTTTGTGTTTCCATTTTACTTACGCATTATAGATTCTCTTGCAAGGACATTCGTTTGCTTATAAATGTATATACCATCTTTGACTTCAGGAAATGGCAAAAACCACTCGAGGAAAAGCAAATGCATCTCAGGATCTTGTCAACTCACCGTTGCGCCGTGTCACTAGGTCACTTGCACGTGCCACTCCATCACCCTCGGCGAAGGCTGTTTCAAGTAACCCTTCTTCGCCAACAGTGGTTCCAACAAAGAAGAATACGAGTAAACGGCCAGGGGCACACGTATCACCTCTTATGGACCGATTACGCAGGATTACTGAAGAGTGGGAAAAAGAGCGTGATTCCAGGTCGCCTTCAGCAGCAGCTCCATCCACAGTCCGACGGAGTCTTCTTCAGGAATCACAAGCACCAGATCAGGAAGAGGTGCAACCTTATTCCCTTTTCTATTTTTTTAAGTACTATTATTTAAATTGTTAACTTTATTGTCACAGCTGGACAGCCATGACTCGGAAGATGATGAAATGATTGGTCCAACTGAAGATTAGGTCCCGACTAATTGCAATCTCGATGACGAAGGTGGAGCACATGAAGCAGAGGCTGAGGAACTCCGGGAGACATTGGGCAATGACATTCGCGAAGAGGATACAGCAATGCAGGATGATGGTACAGCTTGTTCATATATTGTGTAGATTTGTTTATATATTCTCATATGAATATATAACTACATACAACTGTTTCGGCCGTCACGTATTTTTTGTAGGCCCTCTTTCGAAAAAGAAAACTGGATGAGGTGCCGCAAAGATGCCCCGTGGTTGGGGTGGTGACAAATTCCTTCAGGTGTTTGTGTCCGATGATGGCAAGCGGATAATAGGTACTGACCTTCATGGATATAAGAGTTCTCTCGGGGTGATTGCGAGAAACGGACTACGTCTTCCTCTCCACTATCCGACATTTCAACAGATCCCAGAGACAACCAAAAAGGAGATATGGCTGAGGTACAGGTATGTTGTGGACAATGAAAGTTATATTCGCTGCACGTAAATTTGCATCACTCCAATATCTTTGAGTCTTAAATGGATTTTAAATATTTGACGGGGTCAATGTTTTTTAGAAAAACTGCGGTCTACCTGATTATGCTGAGAAATTAGTGCTCTCTGACCTTAAAGACGCCTGGCGCCATTGGAAATACAATGTGAAGGCATCACATTTCACACCAATAGAGGATGATGAAGAGGCCCTGAAGATAGCTCCGAAAGAGTGTGTTGTTGCAGAACAGTGGCCATTGCTAGTGCAGTATTGGAAGGAAAAAAAAGTAAAGGTATGTGCCCGACAAAGTGCACTTTTTCTTAGGGCTTGTTACCCGACCAATCAAGTGCTTACGGGAATGGTGTTTGTAGGATATTGCTAGCAGAAATGCCGCCAATGCAGTGAAAAGAAGTTTTCCACATAGAACGGGCAGAAAATCATTTGACGCCTTGGCTGAGGAAGTCTGTCTCTGCTCTATTTTCCAGCTTATCATTACAAATCTTATTGCATGTATATGTTGTTGCTTCAGATTTTTCTTTGGTTGACCACTTTTAGTAAGGCCGAGATAAATGCTTGCAGATAAAGGCCAAAGGCAAAGAACCCGATAGCTTGGAAATATGGATGGCATCTCGCACCAAGGGACAACACGCGGATAATGAAGAGACTGATGATATTTTGGTAACAACACTTATTTGTTAAGAGCAACACAGTTTTTTGTGTTTTCACCCTCATGTAATGTTGTTACGTTTGTTTTCAAACTCATTGTGTTATGCAGGAATATCTCAATTCTGAACTCAACAAAATCCCAACAGATCAGAGAACACCAGCTGTCCGTGAATCTTTATACCGACGAGCGCTTGCTGGGAAAAGAAAACGGCGAACGGCGGTTGATGTCGCAGCAACCTCTGCCCAAACCAAGACTCAATCTGCCAGCCATGTCGACAGTGAAGCCATGCAATCACAAATGGAGGAATTTCGCAATGGTATTGCTGAGATGAAGGCGGTCTTGTCTGAAATTAAAGCTATTAGAGATGAAGTGACTATGTACAAGGCATAAATTTCTTCGTGGACACCTCCTTCTATTGGACCATCTCCAGAAGCCACGGTAAGTATGGTAAACTCTATATGTAACATAGGGGAAAAATATCGACTCTACTAGTTGATGTGAATCCAATGTCTATTATGAAGGGAACTATCCGGTTGGCTGGAAGGAGGGGCGAGTCAGCTGGCACTAGTTCACTTGAATTGATGACGGTTTGTGTTATTAATATAATTGATGTCTACAATAATGTCGTATAATGGGTTTACGGTAAACTTTAATTTGTTTCATGCTCTTAACACAAAGGAATGTTGATAATAGTGAGAAATGTTATGGCGTAGATTGGAACACGTGTTCGTTTGCTCTCTCGAGGACTGGAGAAACGTGTGGTCGGCGAAGGAGTGATGCTAAGCCTCCCTACACCAGGTTCGTTTGCTCTTGATAAGTTGCCTTTTGATTGTGTAGTTGTACGGTGTGAAATGGACATAAAATTGATCATGTGTAAGATTGTTATATCTAGCATCTAGTTTTATTGTTGTAGGAGATGTCTATTTGGGTTTAAGATAGTTGTAAGGTTGAACGTTATTTTGGGCTTGATTGGTGGTTATGTTATTGCTATTGGGGAGCTGTGTTCGTTTTTTTTACTGAAGGATTGCCCATCTATGATCGCGGTGATTTATAATTATTAGTGTATGTGTAAGGGGAGCTGGCCCCTATGGTCCATGTTGTGTTATTTATTTTCATAATGTTCAGGGGTCAGCCTATTTTATTAGTGCATTTCGAGTTTATTTGTTATTATACTTGTTCCTAAGTTTGGGTCCCTAGATCAGGCTAAAGCGTAAGTTTTATTGTATTATATTCATCCTCGTAACTAGCGCTCATTCAACCTATTTATATAGGTGATACCCTAGCCATTGTTAAGGTGTATGTTACAGCTGTAATGGTCCCGGAGACCGCACTTATCCTCCCAACTAATGCTGGAGCGAAAATTCTCGGTGACGTACTCGATGGAGATAATATCGAGTGGATTTACCAGGATGTACGCAATTTTTTATTTACTTTATTCTTTTCGAAATTAAATTACTTCAATTTCGATAATAAATGCTTATATATTATTAAAAACACATTGCAGTTGGTTCGTCGCCCGTGATTGCAGCCTCCATGATTCTGCACTCGACTAGCTGGGTCATTGATAGTAGTGTTTATGAGTTGCCCTTAAGATCGTACTTCCATATGATATCATAATTATCTATTTACGTATTACTTTTGGGTTTTGCGTATCGTTATTTAGTAGGTTGTTATGTTGGTGTACGGATTGGTGTTTTGTTGGGATGTTTTGTTAGCACCGTTGACGACTAATATTTTATTTTTCGCTGGACTATGAACATCGTTGCATTGATGACCATGTGTAGTATTTGGATAGATTAAGAAACAATTATGATAAGATTAAGTTTTAAATTATTTGTCTCGCAGATTAATAATACAGACTAATGGAATTTATTTATGGCGACAAAACTAATATGCCACACAGGGACGTCTTTTGTATCGTATTTTTAGTTACGGACAGTGGCCAGTACAAATGATAATGAATGGTTGCCTGACTTTTGTCATGATTTTTTGTTGCGGTGTAATTTCGTAACAAATAACTTATTTGTTACAGGGCAGTCCTTTCGTAATGTATTGTTGTTACGGACACATCTTGTAACAAGAAGTTTTCTGACAATATTAGACATTTGTAACGCATTTTTTGATTCGAACATATGTCGTAACAAATATTTTTCTGACAGTATTCAACTTTTGTTCCGCAGTATTTGTGTCGGATATTTGTCGGTTCAAATACATGATTGATGTTTTTGTTACATACCAAAAAACGTAACAAATATAATTAACACGTGCTTATTTTGAGAGTTGACCACCTAATATTTGTTACGGATTTTGTTGCGACACGAACTTTTTGTACCGCGATTTTTCGTAGCGGTCAGAATCCGTAACAAAGTCGACACAAAAAGCTACTTTGCACGAAAAATGAGTTTTAGTTACAAATATTTGATTGCTACAAAAAGACATTTTTTTGGTAGTGACGGTCTCGAAATAGCAGTAGTATTTTTTTTTTACTACTCAATTGTTTCATTTTTATTTTATATGATTTTTTTCAAATTGATTTAGTTTTTGGTATAACATGTTAATAATTTTTTTAATTTTGTAGATTAAGTTCAAATTTTTGGAAATTTATATATTAAATTACGAAAAATTTTAACATATTTTTATTGTATATATATATAATTATCTTTATGTTATTCTTATTTGCTATAAATTATTCTTTTATGTTATTCTTATTTGCTATAAATTATTCTTTTTAAATTTTTTATTGTATATATTATTTTTTAAATTAATTTAATTCGAGTAATATTATATACTTCATTTGTTCCGTAGAAAGGTTACCGTTTACTTTTTGCACGTAGATTTTTTAATATTAGTATTATATTAGATTGTAATGTAAAAAATAAAAATATTATGATATAAAAGTAATGATATTTTTGTAATATAGTGTCAGTTGAAAAGGATATTTACGAAAATGAAAATGATAATCTTTCAATGGGACGAAAAGAATATATAAATTATAAGTATTATTTATAAATAAATATTAAATCGGTATATAATTTAATATAAAAATAATTTATACCTAGTACGAGTTACAAACTAATTTTAATATAATAGTCTATTAATAAAAAATAATATAATTAATGATTCGTTCATATAAGATCATTAGCAATAGGGTATCTTTACTGCTCAGATACTTTCTTTCCTCCATGTACGAGTCACACGAGCAAAAAAAAAATAAAAGGAAAATAAAAATATCTTTTGGTGACTTTGATTTAAATCCTTGTCAGTTAATAAATATTTAAATTCAGTCCCTCAAGATTAATAAAGGATACTGCACTTCCTACTTTTATATAATACTTACATTATACTGCACTTCCTACTACCCAATTAGCCCATGAAATAATGAGTTAGTGTAATAATTTTTTTATATACTTCGGTTGATTTTACATAAACTTATATCTTTTATTTACCTACTCTAAAATTATCTCGTTGTACAAATATAATTTCGAAGTAATGTACTATGAGTTTTCTATTTATATACTTCCATATGTTACAAAAATAATAATAAAAAAAAAAATACCAATGATCTCACTATTCCAATCACTTTGTTTCTTCAAAAATCATTCACCTCCTATTTTCAGTTCGTTGCTATTGAACATCACCCTAAATACCATCGACACCGTTGCAAGGGAACTTGTTCGCATCAAAGATGAAAAGAGAAGATATGACCAAATTACGCTATTTACTCGAAAATGTCGAAAATGTTTCATCTCCAAAACAGAGTTCCGAGAAGTAAGTTAAAATTTATTGTTTTTGTTAGAATTGATATTTCAATTTTGTATTTTTTTTCTAATTCTTGATATGCTCCTATATTTTTTTTCTTGTGCCTCTGTCGGGTGATGTTTTTTAAGTATTAGGTGTTAGACGATATCTCTGGCATAGCGTTGATCATAGATGTATCTATTTTGTCGATTAATAAGTTATTTGCTCTTTATATTATTTATGAGTGTCTCCCATTGCCTTTGGTGTGCCTAGTTGTAAATTTATATGCCTCAAAATAGAAGATTACTTACTTTGTAGTTATGCTATAAATTTGTATTTGTGTTGGGTATACTCATGAAGACATATCTTTATTTTGAAATGATGTCAGACCGAAAAAGAATAAAAATGACTTATCTTTAGATTTTTTTTATATATTTCTTCTATAAAAAGATCGTTAAACTTAAAGTTTGGATTAATGATAAACAACTAAAAGATCTGCAACTCACACTGTTTGGGTATTTTCTAAATTGTCCGAAAAAAAAACTACATTGGCATCAATTGCGACTACAA